TCCCAGGGATCCCTGAATCCCTGGATCCCGGAGCGGTACAATTTGCACTGTCATTTGCAGAGATTCCCAGGCTGCGGAATTTCATTAGCCAACTTTTTGCCACAAAGTATGCCGCTGCCGCTGCCGCTGACTTTCAAGGCCCGTCGACGAGGCACCTTTTGAGCGCCGCACAATAAAATTTAATTTCCGTATTACCGAGCTGGCTCTTATTTAAGCATTTCACTTGCACTCACTAACCCGTTTCTTTACTTTTCCTCCACCCTCCAGGTCTTTAGGTCGGCCATCGACTCGTCGTACCTGCAGATGCTCCAGGACTGGCTGATCTGCACCCTGCCAACGTTCCTCGCCCAGCCGGAGCAGCAAGGTGTCTGGGGTCTCAGCGTCATCTTTTTATCCGCCTCCATAAATCTGCATTTGATTAAACTATTTCCGCTGGTGCTCGGCATCGGAGCAGCCAACTCAGCGGCGGCAACACTGTCAACGGTGGCCCCAGGAACGCCGGGAACGCCCCGAAAATTGGGTCAACACGAAATTGCATTGTTCGTGACAGCTGCACAAGATTTCCATGCGAAATTGAGTGGCGAGCAGCGGCAGCGTTTCCGCGAGGCCTTCACCAGCTACGAGCAGAGTCAAGTATATGGCAGGATGTTGCAACGCCTGTGATAGCGATATCCTGTAATCAGCATCGAGCTCCCCGTCAGGCGACTATTTGTCTTACGTTTAATTCCAATCGCAACCCAGGCAAAAAATATGTGCAGCGGATTAGGATTTGGCAGCGGATAAGCTGGCTTCCAAAGACAAGCGCCAGCGTGAATAACTAATTGCCCAGAGCTGAGGAGAAAGTTTAAGAGGCTGCCGGACATCCTTAGCTGCACCGTCTTGTACTTTTAGTTCTTCGCTTTTGGTCGCCCGAGCGGGCCAAAAGTTTTTTAATAGTTGGCGAATACAAAATTAATTTATGCTTTACATTATGTGTAACTAATATTTAAATTATTGCAAACGAATGGACCCCGCCACCCATTCACCCCGTCCTGCAATCCTCCCTGGCTGGGGCGAAAGTTTAACGAGGCCACCAGCGAACGACCCGCAATTAATTCCTGCGGCAACGCAGAGTCTTCGACAAGGACCCCACAGGACACGGCAGGACTCTGGCGACGGACGCGGACGGAAATTATGTTCTTGCCAGTTTTTGGTAAAGTTTATCATTTATTTATTATGACGCTCTATGCCTGGCAAACGAGAGAGATGGAAACTTGGCCACAGGACGCTAGTGGGCATTAGTATGCGGCTTAACCAATTGCTGGCTAATTCCTAATCAAAATTACTTAAAAATTCCATTATGCAAGCACCCTCTAACCCTTAACCACTCACCTTGTCTATTCCAATTGTAATCAAAATACTAATCGCATTGTTAAGCGAAATAAAATCACAAATTTTAAACATTTACTTTGCAATGTCGTTTTATTTCTCAAAACTTCATATAATATTTGATTATAAAAAAAATGCGTAAAAGTACTTTGCCAACTAACCGAGAAATTCGTTTTTGGATTACCGATCTATATGCAAATCTTTTGGAACTTTTGAGCTTTTACCTGGTGGCACATGTAACGTGGCTCTCTGGCAAGGAACTCTTCTTCGTCTTCTTACCATCTTAACAACAAAGCGCATTAAACTTGACAAAATGCTTCTTCCTTGAACTATCGAAGAAGTCCTGTGAGCGGAAAAAAGTTTTATCTACCCGGCGATTGCTTGAATATCAGATGCCCTGAAAAGTGTGCTACGTTTTTTTGTATTTTCTTGTTCTATGGAAAAATATCTATTATTTTGTGTTTTATTATTAAATTTGAATTAGTAAGAAGGCAAAAAACTAAGAAACTAACTTAAGGTAATTTAAAATATATTTTAGAAGTATAGTTGGAAGAAGTAGCTCTTGTAGACATTTCAAAAGAGATACCAACCGATCAGTTGCTGTAAGTTTTAGTTTAAAATTCAAGTTTGACCTTTTAGGCTGCAGGATAACCCCTATAGGGTAGGGAAATCCTTGCGAAGCCTGCGTGTGTTTGTATTCGAAAATAGACAGATAAACTTGAGTTTCGAGCTGTGTGCGTTGGAAAGGATGCAGGAGGGCGGCTGGCTGGCTTTGGCTTTGTGTGCAGGCGTAGCTTGCCGGAAATTTGCCAGTTCAACGCGAAACGACAAAAAGCCGGTGGAAAAAAAGGAAGTTACAGCACACACCGAAATGAACTGTGCAAAGCTGTTCAAAGTTGTTTTTCTGTTTTGGCGCGACCGCATTATGCAATCGAGCAAAACGCGGTGGGTGTGCCTTCCGTCTCTATCTCTCTCTCTCTCTCTTGGCTCTCTCACTCTGGCACTCTGATTCAGTGTCAAGACAATGTGCCCATTGTCGCCATTATGCCGCACGCCAAGAGGCAATTTGGCCAATGCCTTGGCCATAAACTGCAACATTTCGGCTATCAGCATTTGGTTACGCTTCATTTGGCCAAACAACCGTAGCGGCGGCAGCACAGATTGTGGCCGCCTCACTGCCCCCCGCCCACCAGCAGCCAGCCGTCCCCCTTCCCAGCCCTCTCTGAGTTCCGGCGGCAAGCTATTGACCGGACCAGGAGCCGAGCTGGGGCGCAGGTATACCGCAACAGCAAGTATACGACCCGTTGGCCAACTGCTGCCCTGACCTACGCAGCCCGAATGGCGAACGGCAGACCCGGCATACCGAGCACAGAGCCGGGAACATTGGAAGCGAAACACTAAGCTCAGAGCACGACTTCCGGCTTACGTTCTCTTCCGCTGTTAACTTTCAAACTCACCACGATTCGGAGTGTTCTCTTCGGGGGTTGCTCTCTTAAAAGAGAGATCCTTGCTACCTTCTCTTGATTGTGTGGACTAGGTCAGTAGTGTAACAGTCCTGATTCCATTCGGTTCCCGGCCAACAGAGCTAGCTGTTTGGTATGCAGGCCAGGATAAGCCGCAATTTCTTAATACTCGGATGGCTTTAAAGCCAAAGTGGGCGGGACGAGGCGGGAGGCCAGCGACAATTGTTACACTCACAGTTATGATTATTGTTATTATGATAATGTCAGCAGCAGCAGCAGCCGTAGCAGCAAGAACAGCTTTAACGTTATTGTTTGGCTGTTGGCCTGGCCAGATGCCGAATGCGAACGGAAACGGAAAAGCCAAACAAGTGACGACTCCCTTTTGAGGCATCATTTGTTGCCTAGGCTTATTTTGGGCATCCTGGCGAATCGATCTATTGATTTTCCCGGCTTATTCGCAAGAAAACACGTAGCCCCGGCGACAGGTGTCTTTATTGTGCCCATCTCGGCCTGCTCTGACTTCTCCGAGCACTCCTCTTGGCTCATTTGAAATTTTGATTACATTGGCAACGCGTCGAAGAGGAACCTGTCAGCGACTGATACGCATTAATTACGTTACCTGGTGTAAAAAGCCACGCCTCGACGCTAGCGGGGCCGCTTATTAAAATTGAATAAATTATGCAAAAGTGTGCGTGGCAGGCAGGCAGGAGGCAGCCAGGGCTCCAGAAACCGGCACGGCGTCGATACTGCCATCCTCGTTGTCGATCCGCAAAGTGGACGCGGCATAATTAATTCCGGTCAGTTGCCGGCGGAGAACCGAGGAGAGCACAAATGCAATCAACATCTTGAGCCTCCTGCCAAAGTCAGGGCTTCACAGGCTCACCTAGCAGAGTCATGGACTCCAAGGTGGAGTCTTTCCAAAAGCTTGAGAGATGCCTACACAAAAATCCAGTTAAAAGGCCACATTCCTCAACATTGATACTTTATTTTAAAGTAAAACTCTTTATATAAACTAGCCTTTGGATTCCATGACTGACAGTGTCAATTACTATTTGTTTTCCATTACAAAACTCCCAAAAATCGAAGCATCCCAATATCCTATCAATTTCAATTAGTTCATTTAAAATAAAGCTGAAGGATTTCAAACAGTTCCCAGAGTTTTATGACCTTCTCTTTATTACAACCACTTAAAAAGTATTTTTTAAATAAATAAATAAAACACTGGTTAGCTTAACGATATCAGCAGATAGCCTGCCAGTAGGTTGACAGAAGACACTATTTTACAATTTATAAATATAAAATGCACACTCGTTTCTTGTTTCCAGAGCTTAAAGCCAATTTATTTGGATAAATATTTGAAGGCCTGCTGGCTCTGAAATATAGGTAAATAGTGCTTGTTACTGTTGTGTTATTAAAATCAATCCCCGAAAAAAAAACATTAAAAAGTCATCACTAGTTGACTTGAGGACGATATCAGAGCAGTTTGTCAATTGGTTGACAGAGGACACCATTCCGCCCCGGGGAAGGGATGGCCTCAGGGGGCTTTAGAATAAATGAATGCCCAAGTGGCTCTGGAAATGAATGCAAGTACGAGTGATTGCACAAATGCAGCAGACAGCTCTCGCCAATATATCGATGGCAACGCGAATATTCGACAAGTATTTCAATTTCATGTTTCACGCGTCACTAAATGCCCATTTAAATGCCAGCGGCTGAATTTGCATGCATTTTTGATTTTGCCAATAGTTTGGCCAATTGCCTCAAAAGCCGCAGGCTGACAGCTGACTGTTTTGTTAACTCCGTTCAATGCAAATCAAACAGGCCAAATTGTGGGTCTGGCTTTTGTTAATTCTTTAATGGGTTTATATATACATGTACACACACAAGTAACAAATAACATGGTTAACAATATGCCGAGGGAGTTTGTAATATATATTTTAATCCGTGCTCTATGCTTATGTCGTAATACTCATTTTACGATTCGAGTACAAAGAATCGGTTTGCGCTTAATTTAAGGACATACATTTGTTTTAATTGCTATATACAAAAGATTCAAGTATTTAGGTTTAGAAATTCGAAGGGTTAAGCTTCATTCCTGTGGGGTAGCATTGGTCCTCTTTGGTCCTTTGTCCAGATACCTGCACTGTATTCTGCTGGGGGAGATTCAGCCGAGATGATGATGGAGGCTCCTGTGGTCACCTATCGGTCAATCGCATCGCTCTGCCTTCATCCTTAGAGTCCGGTGGTGGAGGTCCTGGCGCAGGACGTCTTGCGTGGTGGCGGCAAATCAGATGTGTAGTTCTGATATCGGGACGAACAGTTAATGGCCTGCCGGAACAGAGTGAAAGAAATTGAGATCGGGCGGGAAATATCTGGAAATAGGCAGAGTTTAGCGAAAAGTACATCGAACACTGATGGCCCAGTGAGTTCACAGTTTGGGCCACAATATTTGATTAATGATGTGTTTGATGCAGAGCACAAGGTGGAGTGGGATGTTGGAAATGGGAAATGGGGCGAAAGCTATTCCCTTGTCAAGGCCTCTGGCTGCGATTGTTGCCGTCGCTTTGCATTTGAATGATTAGATTTGATTCAATATTCAATTATTAAAGTGGTTTGAGGTGTTGAAATGCCGGCAGACAAACTGTGCCTGGCAACCGACTCTGATCCCGGATTGGGACTGGGATTCAGGACAGGGATTGGGCTCAGCAGTACAACCCGTATTGTGGGTGAGAGTTTGCATATAAATGATTTATGAATTTGCGCTTTGATTGAACTGCCTGAAATTGTTGATTAGTGCCTCGTCATAGAGACAGCAACAACAGCAACTGCGAAACAGAAGCTCCCAGCTCGAAATTCCATTTCTCCGTGGGTAGCCGGGCTCTGGGGGAAAGGAATTACAGCTTTATGGTATTTGGGCTCCAAGGTGTGCTTTGCCTTCCCATTGTCTGAATGTGGCTCATTATTTGATTATATTTACTGACAAAATAGCAAAACATTCTTAGGTAAAGTTGGAGATATTTTAAAGGAGGAAAAAGTGTAATAAAATTCATGCCATAATACTGTTCTACAATAAGAAAAGAATTAATAAAAATGAAATTGAAAAATAAAACCAAAATCTCTATTTCTTACTCTTATATATATTTAGTGGATTTCTCTGAACTCACGTCCTGTTGTCCTGTCCACATGCTAGTTCTCTTGGATTGTAAACTCTTTGTTTATGGCATGTTTGTGGGATTCAAGCGAGATGAGGAAAAAAAGGTAAAAATGGATAAATGGACAAGTTTGACTAATCGATAGGGTCAGGTAGATGGCCTATTAATCAGTTTGACATACGTACGCATTCCCGACCATGTTGGTTTCAGAGAAACACATTCCTGATACCACAAAACATAAAAAAAAAAAATGAATAACATCCACCGCGGCAATTTAATTAACGTAATTAATCTAATTTAATGACTTGACAAACACATCAATTAGCGAAAGGCAAACCAAGACAGAACCAGTCCATGGCCATGGCTGGTTCCTCGGCCAGGAACACAATTTATATGCAAAGTGCCAAAAGCTTTGCACAAAATAGGAAATTTTCCTCGAACCGCGAACTCACGTACCGCAGCGCCAACAGAGACGGCAACAAAACAAATTAAAATATTAAAATTAAGCCACAAAATGATTGAAAGGAAATGTTGTTCGGGAAAAGTGGAACTCGCCGGCCTCGCCATCGATGCCTGATGTCTCTGGGCTTTCCCCGCCCGCTGCATTCTTTAGCTGTTTGTGTCTGTTTGTCCCTAAAGTAATTAAAAGTAAGTAAAGCAAAATCACCCCACAAACCGGCTAGGCGAAGGATGAGGGGCAATCCAGGACGGTGGCCGGGCGGCGGGGGCGTGTCTGTCCAGTGATTTGCGTCCCGCAACGTTTTTTGTGTTTATGCAAATGGCCACTGACCAAAGGAATTAATGCGTCCCGAAAGTGAGTTGAATTGGAATGAGCCGGCGACCGTCCGTCTGTCAGACCTTCTATTCTCGTGGGCGGAATGTTGGCGGATGCCAACGACCATCAATGTATTTACAAGGAATGCTATAAAAAGGCCCACAAAAAAGAACTGAAAGACATTGCTTTCCTTTTGTGTCAGTGCGTTGCTAATTTGGGCATATCTTTAAAAAGCAATCCTTGAATTAAAAGAAGGCTTTAAGTTTGGAATTCTCTATAGAGCATGTACTTGAATGTTTTATAAATATTTTACAAACACACTTTGATGCACTTCATTAAACCAACAAGACAAACGATTTTCTACACATTGAATAATGGAAATATTTATTTGGCCAACTCGCCAAAGTCAGAGCCATTGCCAGAGCCAGAAAAAGAAACACATAGCTCTCTGTGCCATAATGCACAGCAGCTGCCATTTGTCTATGGAATGGATAATGCCCTGTTGTCGGGCTATATAAATAGAGATGGACGGTCGGCTGATGATCTCGTTGAGCCAATTTGATGGGCCTGCCTGGCTGCTTTGTGTAAATTTTACCTATTTATATCGTAAATATAAATTTTGATGCCGATGCTGCGATTGAAGCCAAACTGAACTCGACCCACGCGGCGTATGCGCGTTTTTCGCACTTAACTCATTAAAACGGCCGCCGGCTCCCCGAAAATTATTGGAATAACACGTTCAGACATTTTTTCTATTTTTCTTTTCATTTTTTTAGGGTTTCTCTTTCTTTCATTCTATATTATCGTAAATTATTTAATTGGATTGCAGGTTTTTGATTTGAAATGGAAATATTCCCGCATTTAAAATCTCATTAGAAATGAAAATGGAAATGCGGTTGAGCGGAAATGAGCGTGTATTTTGGAAGTTTATATTGGCACGACGGATTCCATTTATCGGAAAAATTTAAACAGGTATAGTTTTTGTTTGGAGGCTTTTCTGTTTGCCACTCAATAAATCGAAATGAAAACGTAAACACGAATGGACTGGGCTGGATGGATGGCCGGGGCCCTCAAAAAATTATGACAAATAAAAAACGAGATGGTAAAAAATAAAATGCAGGCGAAAACAATGCTCTGAAAATGTTACAACCGACATTGGCAGCAGGCGAATCGTCAATATATTGACCGAGCACTCGGTTTCCAGGCTGTGGAGAGCCCTTCAGGTGGCCACTCGTGTGCCACCACCCACTCACCTTGTAGAAGGCCTTCCGGAAATTGTCGGAGAGGAAGGCGTAGAGTAGCGGATTGATGCAGGAACTGCTGTAGGCCAGGGTTTGGGCACTGATTTGCAGGATGATTTTGAATAGGGTATCGGCCTTGTACAGATTAAGTGCCTTGAGCAGTAAAATCAACTGGCATGGGGGGTGAAGATCAATTTGGTTACAAAAATATAGATTTTGGATGGGAATCACTTACCTGAACCGGCAGCCACAGGGAGGCGAAAGCGATGACCACCACGACGACCAGGCGAGTGACCCGCTTGCGACCTCGCTGCGACTCCTTGGACATGCGAACCCCACTGCCCTGGTGCCACAGCCGCATTATCATACGGACGTACAGCCCACTGATGATCATCAGCGGCAGCAGGTAGGAGCTGATGAAGAAGGATATCTGGAAGGAGCGCGGGCTGAGCAGCTCGTTTCCTGCATCGTAGGTGCAAGCGACATAGGTGATGTTCGTCTTGTTGTCATACAATACCTGTCGAAAATCGATGAAGGAATGTATTAGTTCAGACGTATTGCTGTGTGTTGGAAATCGAATATCGCGCATACGTCATGTAGGTTGTGACAGTTGCATGGCAGCCAAGCAACGTCAGACAGTTAACAGCCAGACATCGTAAATAAAACTAAACTGTCATCCGAATAGTTCCAACTCGCAATCTCACTTTGTTTCCCTGTCGCTGACATTTGCCTGACAAATTGTTCAGTTGGAGTTTTCGCGGAGGAGGGGACTGGATTTGGGATTGGGTTTTTGGTCTATGGCCTAGACGAGACTGGTGTGCTGACGCCGACGGAGGGTCATAAACTGGCCTGGCGTATCGTAAAAATATTTTGCAGCCTTTGTTTACAATTTTGTTTACAATCTCCGCCGCACTTGCCCGCCCATCGCTCTTCCGATGGTCCGGTGCAGCGGTAGGCGTTTGCGAAAGTCGTATTTAAAAAATCTTCTCGTTAATACCGAAAATGCTTACAATAATGTTTGTTTATTACCCTCGACTGTTTTCATTACACTGAACGCGATATTGGCCCCACAAATTGAGTTCGAGGGATCTGCGCATCGTCAAGTGGCCAAGGCCGACGTGGTAGTAGACCAATCATCGCCACTGCCCTTGCTCGAGTCTCCACTACCAGCTTCTCTGCCGAAAACCAAATCCAATGAGTTAATAGACTTGACATGCTCTTAATGGTAGGCCCTTGTTTTTATTTGGGGCTTCTTGGAGAGCAGCGAACAGCTGTCAATCAATGCCATGACCTGGATATCTGCTATTCTGGTTACGCGGACCGACATATGTGCTTATGATTATTAGATATCGATTTCTAATAAAAAGATAATGGCAAACCAACACTTCGAAACCAAAATCCCTATTACCTGACTATGTGTGTGTTTGTGTGGGAGCTTGTAATATGGAAATAATTAATAGCAAACTGTTAATTAACATGTTGATCAAACATGACTTAATTATGCCTTTTTATCGCATATGTTTCTTTGTATTTGCACACGAACACAGCACACATACACACTGTGTATGGAAGATAACAAAGCATTCAATTTGGACCTATATTTTTCCAGCTTAATCCTTAGACAAAGCAAAGCAAACACATAAGCAAACAATAATGCTACCCGGTCGAGCTCTCCCCCACGTAAACAAAGCAAACAAAACAAGTCCGAAAAAAGGCCGAAGCGTGAAATGCCATTTAATAAAATATTAGATTACAATAACAACAAGAGCCAGAGGGCAACCAATGGGCCATCTCGCAGATAAAATAGCTCATCATTTAATTAGCCATGGCTACCCGTGGAAATCGAACTTTTGTGAGTTGTGGGATTCTAATGACAAAAGCTCCTTTCGGTGACGTCAAGAGGAAAATTAGTCTGCGTCGAGTGTAAGCCGTAAACAGGTAATTAATGACAATAATTATCAGCCGCTGACTGACGTGAAACGATCCTGGCCTATTTGACCAGAATGTCTAGGAATGATTCCGCCAATTATTCGGCAATTAGCTCGTTTTTCGCACTTTCCGCCTTGATCATAAAATCAAAATGTGAAGCGCGAAAAAATTGCGCACTGTGGTTAGTAGTCGGTAGTATTTTAAATTCAGTTCCAAGGTCGCGACCCACCGAGACATTTATCATCCGCCCCGTGGTCCCGAAGTTGGCAAGTGCAAAGTTCGCATAATGACCACTTGTTATGAGTTGCAATGATTTATGTGCCTTTGAATGGTGGCCTCAACCAAGAAACTGTTTCCGAATTGGCCAAAATAGAATCGAGCAAGAAATAAAGGGGAGATGGGGAGCTGTGATCTCCGCGCCAGTTGGCAAGTGTTTCTCGCTGGCTATCTGCTATATAATTAAAAATTTATGAATTCAAAATAGCAAATTAGTAACAAAAACAATTCGGGCGCCGCGCATCTAGCAAAATTTTCAATATAAACACAAAACAGAAAACAAGATAAAAAGCAAAGAAACTTTAATAGAAGCACGTTGAAGGCAAATGATTTGTATCAGGATCAGCCAAGAGAGGGGCTACGGAGGAGGCTAGGCGGGATCAGTTCACCTTTTCGGATTACGATCAAGAGGCAGTGGTTCGATAGATACGATCTATCTATAGAACCCGCCCCAGAGTATTGACGTGCCAGCTCGGCCAGTTTGGCCAGTTCGGGGAATCTAACGAGGTGACGATGATGGAAAGCAATAAATTTGCCTGGCCCGTGTTCTTCACAGCAAATTCAAACCCAGCAGGCAACCGAACGATTACCGCCCTCCCACCTTCGGCCTCCCACTTTCATGCCCAACCCCGCCCACTTACCACCATGTCGTTGACGAAGCCAACTGGTGTGGAGACGACTAGTATGACCGCCCAAAGGGTCACGATGGCGATCATGGTGATGTTCTCCGTCCGCATCATCCGCGATCGAATGGGATGGACCACGGCCAGAAACCGGTCGATGGACATCAGCACCAGGGTGTAGATCGAGGCGAAGGCCGTCACCACGATCAGGTACTGGACGCTGCGGCACCAGAACAGGCCAAAGGGCCAGACCTTGGTCACGTAGTCGGTGGCGGTGAAGGGAATGCAGAAGATCACGAACAGCAGATCGGCCACCGCCAGGTTAACGATCATCAGGTTGGTGGTGGAGCGCATGTTCTTGTTGAAGACCACCACCAGGATGACCAGCAGGTTGCCAAAGAATCCCGTCAAGGCGATGATCCCGAAGAAGAACGGTACCAACCAGATCAAGGTGCCCTCGATGGCCTGGCGCTCCTCCTCGGAGAAGAAGGACGTCAAGTTGTCGTCGTAGGTGGCCATCGTGGCCAGAGGGTCAGGGGTCGCCAGCGTTGTGTTATCCATTGTGTTTTTATTTTAAACTTGTTTCTTTTTTGATGAGAGTTATTTTTCCGATGTTTACATTTCACTTGATTTCAAATTTTTCCGCTCACAGTTCATTGAACTCGAATAACAAAATTCCAATTATGGAGGCGGCCGGAAAAAATTCAATTATCATGCGCAGTATTACGACAACACCGGGGAGATGGAGCCTCCATGGACTTGGCCAGAACTGTTCGAGGACAAAAGCAATTTGGCCTCCACATCCATCGAACGGGGGGCAAGCGATAACGGTAATTGTGGCCAGGTAAGACAATAATAAAAGGACACACGGCGAGGATGTCGAAAAGGAAAGGAAACCAAAGCGAAAGGCACGTGCAAATCGGTGTCGGCGCCGACGCAACCAAACTGTTTCGTGTCACACCCTTCGAACAAGAACACTCTACACGGACACACACGTACACACTGATACACCGTTATACCGTATACCGTTCTACCGTTATACCGATATGCCGTTATTGAGGTCCCCCAATCCTTGAGGACATGTAGCTGCACCTACACCATAAATTCAATATGATGTCTTCCTTTCGCTTGGCTCGGTTCTGTTTACGTTTCTCGGTTTTTATTGACAAGCGGATGGCAACATTTTGGTTATTTTTGTTCAGTACTTTTTTTTGTTGGCCACAATTTTAATGGCTTTTGTTTTACTAACTGGGCTTGTATCTTAACTTGTTGGTAGTCTTATTGTTTGGCTTTTGTTCTCTCTTGATTTTTGTTCGGTTTTTGGCCAAATCGAAAAATCCAAACTGCACGCGTTCGATTCCAGCGCCCAACTGATTGCTGGCTGAGGTCGCAGATGACTATGTCTGCCGCTGGCAGAAGCCGAAGCACGAGATATGTACGCTAGCGCTAGCGCCAGCGCCAGAGGCACGGCAGCGCCGGCAGCGACGCCAGCCTTCCCAGCCAGAATAATAGCAACAATGGGCAACTACAATAACAGCAACGGGCGCCGGCGGTTGTGCCGTGCGTGAGTGTGGAGCACGGGGTGGCCGCCGACGTTCCGCCTCCTCATCATGAAGTTGTCGCCTCTGGTTGGAATGTTTGCATTTGCTCCCGAGAATGAGCAGCCCAAGCAGCAACTGGAACAACAGCCAAACAGCAATTGTCGGGCAATCACTACTGGTACTGGGTTCTGGGATTCCTCCCGCTGGCAAACACTGCCATTGTGCTGCACAGCTGGATGTCCTTGCCAGTGCCGGCAGCGACGGCGCCCGCGTCGGCGTCACAGCCAGCTCCTCTGCCCGTCCGGCTTTAGTACTTTGCCTTAATTTCTCTGATTAACTGCCAGTCGGCGGGAGAAAAAAAGCAAACAAAAAGCAACCGGCACGCGCCCATGTGCACACGCCCCCAAAAAGCAATTGCCCGTCTACAGGCTCTTATCGCTCACTTGGGGATGTGGGTGGTAATGGGCGGCTGGTGGTTTTCGGGGGTGGTGGTGGTGCGGCCCGTGAGAGACCAACTGGCAAAACATCATTCACACCTTTTGACGGCCTGTGTCAGAACGTTATGTAACCGCAGCCGGCAGCTCCGGGAGGATTTCCAGAGTCTTGGGCTAGCCAAAAGCCCCATTTACATGTTTTTTATTGCCGCTGCCGACGCAGCCGTGGCAATACACTCACCTGTCACCTGCAGACGCCAATGCGGCGCTGTGGCAGCGATGTCAACGCTGGCGTCCTCAGCAACAGAAACAGCAACAGCAGCAGCAGCAGCTGTGGCCCATCAAATCTGCGGCGGGCTGTCTCTCGACATTTGTTCCGGCTGATGTCCCGGCGTCCTGATGTGGGCCATGGCTCACTGCCCCCCTGACGAGGACGTCGCCAGCCTGATGAGATTAAAAGCGAATTAACCGCCATGAACCAACAACAAAAATGGCAGCATCCGAACAAAAATAAACGAAGACGGTAAAACAGTAAAAAGCCCTGCCGGAATTATGTTTATTTAACGCCAAGCATTCCGGATTTAATGAAGTCTTTAATTCTTAATGCAGGTTCATAGCCTATTACAATGGCTCGCCGGCGAAACAGTCTTCAGTTCAGCAGAGAGCAGGAAAATTCAAATTAAATGAATAAATTGTCATCACGTTTGATTAATTTAATATTAATTGGCTTTATCCACAAGTGGTCTTGGTATCATTAATTTGTTTCATTTTTATAGATTTTAAAATAAGTTTTAAATCAAGAATGTTATATCCACTTAATCCTGGCAACTACATACTTGGGCAGAATTAAAAGCATTCTTTCAAGTGTCTGAATATGCCAGCCATACCTTCTCAAAACCCACTCATCCTCTTTGAAATCGTTCTCCAAACTGACATGCCCTTACCCTGGCAGAAGCAACAATTTGATGTGATGTCGGCCAAACTTTCGACGTGATTGAAATGCTTCTTAATTTTTCATCAAAATCATTTCATTGCGTCAAAAATGGCTGGGTGCTCGAAGGTAATGGGAATCCCTTTCGAGCACACACGGCGGAGCACTCAGGACACACCCATCTTGCAGGGACACCGAGCTTAACCTTTTTCGTGGGCGGCGATGGATTTGTTTATTTTTGGCATAATCATGCGATGGGGATTACACGGCTCACACAGGAGCGTGAACTTTGAGACCACAGTGGGCTTAAAAACCTAAAAATAAAATCTGCCACGACTCTCGGAAAGTGAACTACTCAAGAGAGGGTAGTGAAGCATTAATCATTGGCTTTAATTGGCCAAAATCATAGGAAATTCAACTAAAATGAGTAACCGATTGTGTGCGCCACTGTGGACATCAATACCTTTCAGTTTTGCAGTCAACTTGTGACGAAAATGATGGATTATCGCTTTTTGCGCCAACGTTGCTCCCATGTTTTTGTTTACTTTTGTATACATCACGCAGCCTGACCCTTTTTTCGGCAGCTGCCTCCCGTCGCTGCCAGGGGAATTAATAAATGTAAATCTGCACGAGAGTCTCCCAAAAAAGCAAAAATATATAGGGAGGTAGAGGATGTGCTTAAGCCACACAAAGACCACACTAATCGTTTTTTTTATTTGTTGCCCGGGGAGGCTAGGATTGGGATTGGATATGTTTTTGGTGACGGGATTTGCCGGGCGAAACAAGAAGTGCTGATGCTCCGTCGACGACACAACTTTTACACAGCTTTTGCTATTTAATCATTCAAATTGACTTTTTTCTTGCCTGATGGACGTTAATTTTGAAATCCCTTTTTAAACGCCACCCCAACGTACCAGCCATAAGACCCAACCCATTGGATTTTCCGCAACTTCGCTTTACGCTCGCGGCTTATAAGTTTTTTAGCCTTCGCTCATTTAATTTTTTCCACGAATTTCCTTTTTGTTTTTCCGCTGGAGCACTTAGAATGCGCTGAGTTTGCATTTGGCTTTCATTTCACCATTTTACTGACCGCCTTTCTTCTAGTTCCTCCCCTGGCACTTCGCCTGACCGAGCCTGGCCACGGGTTTTTTTTAGTTTTTTAATCAAGATGTTTTAAATGCGGCCACGCCAGTGAATGATGGATTTCATTTTGTCTTTTTTCTTTCTGGCCCCCGACAAAGTAAACAGAAAGTTGGTCGGAAAGTGGGGTTCGACAAAGATTTATGCAGATAATAAAATGAGTCTTCAAATGAATAATCAAGTTTTGCCTGGCTGGTTAGCCATGGGTTCGGTTGGGTTGTGTTGGGCTGGGTTGGGCATGGTCTCGGCCATAATTAAGGTCCGTCCTTGAGCCTGGCTCTGTTCACTCGATGATAGAGCAACTTTTTCGTAATCCGACAAAGGCAATACAACATTCCCGGGCCAAACAAGTCAGTCAAGGACTGCAACAGCGCCAGTACTAACGAGCATCTTAAAGTGGTCTCGCAATTTAACCTGTTACCTGGAAATATGCTATGGAAAATGAAATTTTCTAGGGCTTTGCCGGCATATTGCCAAGGTGAGTCTGGACGGAGTTCCGTTTATTGTTACCTGGCCTTGCGGGGGCAGGACTATAAAATGTCGCGGCTATAACTTGCCGGAAACTAAACGCCGGGACAAAGTTAGAGCCAAACAAAACCAAACCCGATGCCAAAGGAAAACTGAAACTGCAACTTGTTAGACTTCCGCCGGCATCCCACCTAGGGCTTTTTTGTTTTTTATTAAGTTCCGTGAAAAATGCGATTTTTACGCGCAGCTGCAGCGACTATTGTGAGGAAAATATTGCACTCCCAGATGCGGACTTGAATGCGAGCCCGGATACGGATGCCGGCTTGTCAGCCCTGTGCCCGTGGACACACTTGTTGCCATTGTTGAGATACAAAATTAACTTTTACGCTTTATTACCGCAACAATGGTGAAACAAAACAAATCTTAAGTTGCAACTGCCACACCATAAACTTCTGCCACTCTAGATGTTACTGTTTCTGTTTGTCCTGCTGCTTCTATTTTCTATTCCTCTGTTTTATTTGGTTTTTGTCTCCGGCGGACGGGCCCGGAGTCGTAGACGGAGCTTTTTGTCACCAGCATCCGGAGGCCATCAAAATTGCCGGAAGCGCGCGCCGGCCAGTCAGTGGCATTGTCGTCAACTCAATTACATTTGCGACTCCTTGCCCGCCGGCAATTGCAGTGCAGCGGAAAGGAAGCCCAGTCGCGACCCCGCGATACCACGGCATTCTAAACAAGCCTCACAATACGCGCGGCGTCGCTGGCTTTTATCTGGCCCCGCCTCCAGTGCTCCCGATCCAGGACCCGCCTCCTGCCACCGATTCCGTTGCCGGCCCATTGTGTCCTGTCTCGTGTGACGGATGCGACAGGAAACGCTGCGAGTCTTGATAGTCAGTCCACACAAAGGCTCGAAAAAAACAGTACAAATGGTGGCAGGCGTGTGTATCGACTATTTATACCCAGTACTCAGATTGCTTTTTTAAAAGATTTTATATTTCCATAAAGAAATCCAGAGAAATGGTTTTTATTAGATAAATACGATGGAGGTATTGAGAAGAGCCCTAAGACCCTTCTTTAAAGCCTTGAACCACGAAGTCTCTGTATGGAATGACTAGATATACTTCTTTCAAATATTTTCATCAAAAAAGACTCTGAAAAATCCAATATACCCTCAAGCCTGACATTCCACACATACTAGTATGAAAACCCACAACATCCAACAAGAAGTTGAAACTGGAGAAGAGTGCCGCACCTTTTCGTATATCTATGGCGCCATAATTTACTGCTTCCCCTCAGCCGGAGCCGTAATCTATGACGGACTCTGTTGCTCCGGCAGCGGAAATGTTTCACAGAGATTAGCACAACATGTCAGCATTTTGATTTACCTGCACGCCCAGAGATTTAACTACATCTCCGTCTCCAATTCACTCCAACTCACGGTTTAGGAGCTCATGTTCATCGAATCAGAATCAGCATTGGTATCTGTGTCGGTATCATTAGCCAAGTTTATGTTTGCCTCTCCATTTCCAATGCAAATTGAAAGGACTGTGATACTGCATGCGAGCGGCAGGAGTTCAACTCCAGTTGGTCCTTGATCGGATTATCCAGGCACAGGTGCGTTGCGGCGTGCATCAGTTGAGTCCCCGTTCGCACCCATTGCTGCGACTGCCTCAGGGTCTCGTTTTGGCCACACGGTCCCAGGCTAAGAATACGTCCAAATCCGACCCCCAGGCAAAGTTCCCTTTGGGTACTCAACTGCCCGGTGACGCGGAACAGGCTCCACTGGGTAATGTCCTTGCTGTAGCAGCTGGTAAGGATCAGTTGCCGACCTGTCTGTGAGTCCTTTTGGTTTCTGGCGTGAAGGCAACGATCCTCGTTTTGCAAAGTTCCTGTGGCAGCTAGCTCTTCGAGGTTAAATCTGAAAATTATTACAGCAAACTCTTTAAAAATATTCACAAGAAAAAATCTCTAAAAAAGACGAATAATTTGTATTTTCTATCAACTTCCCAATCAATTAATTGGGTATGGATCTATTATTTGAAATATGTAATATTTAACAATACATATCTGCTCAAAAATATTGTAATTGAATTGCAAATCAAATCGAATTGTACGAAAAAGTTTACTCTGAATATTATTTTACATTTAATTAATAAATTCCATTGGTAAATAATCTCAGTGGTTTTAAAAAAGACGACTGCAAAGTAAATATTTCATTTATAAAAACCTCTGCAAATATTTTTTGCTAACATATCTCCTAGGTAACTCATGGCTATTTTTTCTTTATTAACTGAACTCTTGCTGTGTTTTTTGATTAAGAACGCCTCGAATAACTTAGCACTGACCTTAGTTCGGGACTGACATTCCACAAATACCAGTGGAAGCGATGACACTGCTTCTCCCGCCGGAACTGGTGCAACTCTTCGATGGTGGTGTCATTCAATGGAATTCCCTTGGCCGCTGGCTTCAGTGCGTAGAACATATTTTTGTACTCGTCCAGCCAGGACTCGGCTATGATTTTTGAGTTGCTGGGGGTGCAAGAGGACAGGGAGAGGATTCAATCAGCATGTGAGTATGGCGTGATAGGAATGTTTATATTAAACTGATGCACGCTGAAATAAATTGAAAAATACCAGAGGACAGTGGCGACCATTTCACACCTAATCCCCGACTCCAAAACTCACTGCAAGTAGGTGGACTGGGCGAAACTCCTCTGTGAACTGGCGTGCTCAGTAAAGTCCCTCTCTGGCGGGAACTCGAAGGCATGGAAGCGACGAAAGATATGTCCAATTCGACTGCAGGGCACGATCTCAATTTGTCCACCGCAAAGCCACAATTTAATGGCCAGCTCGATGGACTCGCCGCCCCAGATCTGTAAGAGCACCAAAAACAAGGCCCAAAAGTGGTTAGGAGCACTAAAGGAAAAGTTTGAAAGCTTTAACAAAATGTTAACTAAGTTGGCGGGAATCTTTTTTAAAATAAATATGTCTTAAGGTGGTTTAAACTCCAAAACTAACTATAAAATATAACGAATATTAAGTACCAATTAAGAATAATTTCTTCAAGTGTGGAAATCCCCAAACTTGGATCTTTGTAAATGCTAGTTTCGTGTAGCCTGACATTAGTAATTAGGGAAGTTGACATTGCTAATTAGCTTTTCTCACCTTAAGATTGGGATTGAAGGAGTTTAGCTTGAGAAACCATTCGCGTGATATCATCAGGACACCTCCAGAAAAGGATGGACTTTTGTAGGGCGCCTCCGGACGCTCCTTGCTTGTCAACCGGCGTTTCAGCCAGTGGAAGTGCAGGGACCAGTCGAAGCCACCCTTTAGCATCGCGTTGCCCTTCCGGTAGCTCAGGGTCTCCGGGTCAATGGGATCCAGGACAGGGCTGACCGCCAGGCGGGGGTTCAACGCCAGCCTCTCCAGCAGGGGCTCCAGCCAGCCCTCGTTTACCTCGCAATGACTGTCCAGGAAGAGGATGTAATGGCCACTGGCAACGATGGCGCCCCTGTTGCGCGACCAAATCAGGCCCCGGCGCTCCAAGTTCCTTAGGAAGATGAGACCCAGCCGACTCCGAGTGGCGAAAACTCGACCCAACCACCGCTCGAGGTCATCCAGCAGAGTCGCTGTTAATTGAGTGTTAAGTGTACTCCTAATGGGTGAGAGGGTTCAACGGCCTACCGTCCAGGCTCCTGTCGTCGACGACGATTAGCTCGTGCAAGTACTCCTCCGGGGTGCGTCTTATCAGGGACACAATGGTCCGCAGCAGCATGGAGCGGGCTTCGTTGTGGAAGCTGATCACAACACTCACTTTTGCCTTGGAGGGTTCGGGCAAGGTGTAGCTATGGAAATTGCAACTATGGGATTGGGAGGATGACATTTACTAATTCATTATATAAGAAAGTATTTACCTTTCATGTCTGGTAGTTGGCAATCCCCTAAGGGCCCCCAAACTGTCGCTCATGTAAAGACTGTACTGGAAGAACTCATCTGGATAGAGAGGGGTACGAGAGACAATCGCTTTCCAGGCATTCACAAGGTCCACGACGATATTTTCACTATATGGTTCATTCTACAGAGAAGTGTTAAATGAGTTAATGGTTGCTTTTTCATAATAATTGTACTATGTGTTACTCACTTTTATTGGCTCGAAAACCCCACTTTTCAGAATCACAAATACTAATACCAGCTGGCAACTAAAGAATCCAAGGATATAAAACTTGCAACGACTTGGACGGCAATAAAGTCTGCGGCCGAACATGGTTGAAGTGGCGACTGGCGACTGAGCCGATTCCCCATGGCGTTCCAAGTTCAGAAACCAAACTGAAACTAAATGGTTTCGATGGAAATATCACGCCAGGCACCTTCAGTATTATCGCCGCCAAGAAATACTCCCGGCACCCTAATGACTCCAATATTTGTATTTGTATTACTGCTTTTGTTGTTTGTTAGTTGGAGAATTAGTAACTTTGATTGTGTCGTCACATGAAGAGTGAGCGATGATATCGAATGCCATATTCGTGACTTGCCCAGTCCACCCAGCCCCCCGTATCGTCGCCTTTGTGTCACACTTGTCATTGATAAATGCTCGATAAGTTTGGCAAATATTTGTGTGGAGCTCGCGAGGTGTTAATTGCAGCAAACGAAACTATCTATTACCAATGAGCTGTCAGGTTTGGCGGGGTTGGGCCTGCCAGGGGTTTTCGTTGTCGGACAGGTGAACCCTCACCTGTTATCGACAATATTTCATTCATAGCCGAGGGCCTAGTCGCCAACGCCATCAAATATGCGGAACTCTTTATCCGAGCATACAGTGAATTGTGATTGAATGTTATTGATACAGCGGAAACTATTTTGAAAACTGCAGTTCAAAAAGTTCGTTTATTAAAATTATTTCCATTCGAAATAGCACCCTGGAGATCCTGTGTATACATTGTTTTTTCATTATAATTCCATTATTATTTGCACTGGGGTGGCAGAGTTTTGCAATTCATATTTTTGCTTGCCAATTAATTGACTGTAATGATTTGCACAATTTTGCCGCATTTACCCCGCCCTGTGGCGGCAATTATATACTGATTTGGTTTATTTGCTTTCCATGCAAATAATTGCTGTTGATTCAGTTTGCAACATAATAATGTGATGGACCTGCAAATATAGACCGCTTTCTATGTCAATCAGTTCAGTGGCAAATAAATTGCCGCTGCAGGGATCCGAGGCGGAGTGAATTAAATTGGCTACCAAATGGCCAGCGCTTTCATTGAGTCGAGATTCAGTGGCGGCGGCACCGAGCTGGCCACTCGCATATTGGCATTGCCTTTTTATGGCCTTTTGTTGCTGCCATAAATATTTCAAAGCCCAGCGTCGCGTCGGTTTCCAGGCACACACACCAAACTAACGAAAAAAAAAAATGGAAATGGTAACAACTGTTATCCACACATGCACTTCGACGTCCTCCGGACTATTGTCCATATTGTCCGTGTGAGTGTCCGTGTTTGTGTTGGATCCTTTCAGTTCTCATCCGTCCTCTGGCTCCCTTCCTGTCTCACTTTGCCAGGATTTGTGATGTGATTTTATTTAAAATTGTTAGGCAAAGCGGAAGTAACTCATTCAGTTAGCAACAAAATCAGGGGCCGTGCCTCCGCCCGGCTAAATTGGAGTGTGACTTCCGCATTGCATTAGGGTTATACTTAGTTGTTAGTGCCGCACTGTGGCGGCCCCGCCGGCCGGCTGCCTCCTGCTGTTGCCCAGTTACTGATTGACTTACGTGCCTCTCGTTTTCCTCTTCGCTTTCGGTTCGGTTTGCTGTGGTAACGTCTAACGTCCTCTATTTTTTGCGCCCGGTTTTTACGTGCAGCGGAAATGCATTTTTCCAGTCACGTCTTCTCCGCCCAGACAAGTGTGCAGACAGACGCCAGCTTCACCTCCTACAGCAGCCCCCGGACCGGATCCTGGCTCCTAGATCCTCCATCCGAACTCAGCTCCAATTTCAGTTGCAGGTAAGACATACATCCCCACTGAGTGGCAACGACGGCCAAGGATTCTTTTGTTTTCGGTTGCTTGGCGTGGGAATTTATTAAGCCGGGCGTGATCTATGCGCTCGGTCTGTGTGAATTAAAGTGCTTTGTAATGAATGTAGAGCTGGGACCCTGCTCCATACCCTCTAATTGTATGCCGGGCAGCGTGTGCAGCTTAGCAATTAAGCAAGCCACCCGTTTTCAAGGGCAACCCTGGGGGCGGAGTAAATTCGATATTCAATATGTTTTCAATTTGCCCTATTCCTTGTATTTCTATTGCAAAGGCCTTCTCCGCGTTCGACAGCGTATCAAAGGCAATCGCAAAAGCCGTAAAACAAATAAAAATAAAACGAAATTATGCCAATAAATGAATTATAAGACGCACGCACAACGCGGCGTATACGCAACGCTAGTCAAAGGAGCGGGCGACAATGCCTAAGTGGCATGTAAATGTGTGTCAGAGTCTATGTGGCAGGCATAAGTGTGTGAGTGTGCGGCCATGATTATTATACGGCCACTCACACCCAGACACGCACATACATATGCGTCTGTGTACGTTATGATAATGTTAACAGCCCCGGCCTGGGCTTCTAAAATTTTATTAGCCCGCTTCTTATGGAACTTTGAAAATAATAACAAAAGCATCGCAAAAACCAGGCAAAGATTGTCCCCTAGCCCTCTGGCCCCCTCTATCTCACTTCCGCTCTGTCTTCCCCTCCGTCCCGCGCTAGCTAGCCATAAAGAATATTGAGGAAATTGCTTTCTTTGCACTCGAAATGCTCGACAGTCTCGGCCGCTTAGCAGGGTGCACTCATTTCGAAATTGTTGCGTATTATCGTAAAATTTTACGCACACCCATACAGCGGCACTCAGTTCACACGCACACCACCGCACACCCGAGTCCTGCCAAGGACGTGCGCTCACATACAAATGCGTTTCGGCGACGGCATTGTTGGGGTTCTCCCTGGAGCAGGCGGCGGCATTTTTCTTGTCAGGCATTTTCATATCCAGTTGCAGTGCGTGTGTTAGTTAAAAATATTTGCAAAACAAAAGAAAAGACTGCCAGTGGCGGATTCTTTTTTATGAAATGCGGTCGCGCCCTTGAATTATTTAGTTTAATTTAACAAAGTGCTTTTTCCATAAAGTGATACGCGGCTAATTCGCTGGGAGCCCATCCTACTCAGTTTCTTTTTGGGGATTTCTCCGCTTGGGGAGAGACAAATCACAAAACGAAAAAGTAAACCGAACACATGGACAAAAATATAATTTCAATGATTTTCCATTTCGATTTTTAACGTGGGTGTCTGAGGGTGGGGGATGGCGGCTCTGGGTAGGTGGTCTTAGAGAAAAAAACCATTTTAATGATGTTTACACAGTTTGTATGCTCCTGTCAACATCCATGCCTCCATCCACCCGCACATTATGTGCTTTATGGCGATTGACTAGAACTTTTCACTATGCCCGACGGAGTACTTTAGTTGATGACATTATCGCTGCAATACAAAAGGTTTTTTTGCCACTGCCACTTCATCTCGGCAGTGTTTGTACTCTGGAACGGCGCTGGAACGGTGTGCCATGGTCTTTTTTCTTTCATCCCGGAGCTGGGTTTTTCGTCAATGACACGGCACTGAGCCGGAGAATACCCCACCGGAGCCGGAGCTGGAGCTAAGCGTCTGCGCGTTTAATGGCTCTTGTTGGGGAACTTTGATTTGGCAACAGCAGTGCCAGCAATATTTCATTAATTTGATTGAACCTCAGCCAGGCCATCGGAAATGAGGCAGAACAATTTAATGTCATATTTGAAAAATCAAAAAACGAGAAATGGTTTTCATTTGATCTTAGCGAGTATGCGGGTTTCGTTATTATTTCATTAATGAAAAACGTAAAACTTTGTGATACAAAAATAAATAAAAGAAATTTATTTTCGAAAGAAATATTTTTGATATTCCAAGTTGTTTATAGTCATGTTTTCCTTTCATTCATCAAATGATGATCATTGAATATGTGTATTCTTTGCTTTGATATCAGCACAAACATAAACCTTATGTTAAAAGCATTTTTCTAAGCCTATTATCTTTCCAAAAGTCCAGCTGATGCAACAAACGATCTTTGCATTCCATACTCATAGTTTTTTATATTTTAAATATTTTAGTAAAGCGGATAATGTGCTCTCAACTGAACAAAGACATCTACGTTGCTGGGACTGGGACAGTTGTGACCTAGGATATTTATGCCGCAGAATTTGTCATTCCACATGTAGGGCAGCCCAAAGTTGGGTATGCAGCCCACCGTAAAGTCAGAGTTCTCCAAGCAAATGGTGGCGTTGTTAACCACCATTCCATCGGGATCCTTTATTTGGTGCATACAGGTCGATGAGGTAGCCGGTCGTGCCAGCATAACCTTTAGTTCTTCTACGTTCTTATCCCAGCTCCAGAGCCACACTTCATCTTTAAGCTGGGGACCTTTAACACAAATGGGTGGATTGCTGGGGAAGCGACTCTCCAACTCTTTTTCCAGCTCAAGGAGCGTCAGCAGACCCTTGGCTTCATTCAATGTATATCGGGTGCTGGCGGAACTATTTTTTACTGCGTATATGGTATCATCGTATACCTTTAAGGTCAACATTTCCGGCCGGACATCCAGCACACATATGCTGGCCGTGAGCACCTGTTTCCTGTTCACAATAATGCCATTGCACACGATCTTCTCCTTTTGCAATATTCGCACTACAAAAAGGTTGAGTTTTGTCGGCGGGGATGCGTCCTCCCTTTGGATGACAGACCTACGACCCCGAGATCCATGATCCGAGCCATAGTGACTCGGTCTGTAGCCAAAGTGCGGCCGCCAGTTCCCGAACATATACTTCATCCTAATGTGGTGCCTTTTTTTGCTGCTTTTTGTGGTGTGCGTTGAATCCTCCACTGTATGATCCGAATGCTCAGCAAGGACAAGGGTCGTTAAGACCACACAGATCAGCATCAATTTCCTCATTTCTACTGTAAAGACTGTATTAGATAAGTTTATCTTTTTGTAAGGCAAGCTAATTCGATGCATTTAAATTATAATTAAATGGAACAGGTTAAGGCTTTTAGAAATTCGGCACACTTCTCTGAATGGTATAATAGCTATTTTTCTCTTATAGCTTTCTAAGGTAAAAAAGATTTGTATTTCATTTTTTATTTTAAAAAAAACTTGGGAAATTGTATTTACTACAGTATAGCTTCCTGTACTTTATTATGTTTAATCAATTCCATGCCAGCAATCGAAAAACTGAGCGCATCGTAGATGGTTATATACAAATCGAAGCCAGTGTGGTGTGGGCAATTATGGCCATACACATTGATGCCGCAGATCATGCCATCGTAGACGAGTGGGTTCCCATTGCCATGCTGGCAATGCGTTGTGTATTGGGAATTCCTTACACAGATCATGTTGTCCTGGGCCAAGATTCCCTCTTCATCCTTCAAACGGTGCCGGCATTCCTGCAGCGGCCACACCTCCGTCTTCTGCGAGTGAATGCTATGCCGCTGTCTGATCCAAATGGGAAGATCCACGATCGCATGGTCCTGAACCTCTGCATCACACAGCTTCACCGTATTTCCACTTATATTTGGACTATGGAAAGGCGTGTCCAACATAATAATGTCCAAATAGGGGTCTTCGCTCCTCAGAAACGTCTCGTTGGAGTTCACCCGTTTTCCGTCATAGATCTCATTTGCGAAGTTCTTCACTGTCAGATGATCGAACCTATGGTGTGGAAAGCAGGTGTCCACCGTAGCCACTAGTATATCCGATATGATCGTTCCCGTGCACACAAAATGATTATCCCGGTAAATACGCACGATCAATTCGTGGAGCTGAAGTTTGTGGTCGCCATTGGTTAACTTAATCACTGGCTCCTTAGACCGTGCAGCAACATGATCTGGAGCCCCCACATGATTTGGAGCCCCCACATGATTTGGAGCCCCTTTATCTTCCACCTTGGCTGGAGATCGCTTTTTTATGTGTTTATAGTCCTTTTGCGTCTTTGAATTGTGCTGCGGCTTATAATCGGAGAGCATGTATCGATGATAATGCATATTGGGGGACAATGAATTTTCCACTGCAACGGCAAGGAGCAGGACGACTCCCAGAAAAGCTAAGAACCTGCTCATCCACATAGTGTTCTTATAACTAACATAAGCAAATTTTCCCAAAAAGATTGGCTTTTAAAATTGATTTGAAACACAATAAACTGGAACAAAATGAATAATTTGTTTATTTTAAATTCTGATTGTATACATATATACTTCTTAATAACATATGTACATAACTTTTGCTTTAAATGTGAAATGGCTGGAAACGTAAATTGTTGGATCCACATGTTGTGGATTGTTGGATGTTCATCCACAGCCCAAAACTTGGGAGATCCTTCCATTGAGAACTTAAACAAAGGCTACATTTCGGGTGGATGTGCTGTGTGAAGTGTTGGAAAATGTTCATCCGCAGCCCAAAACTTGGGAGATCCTTCCATTAGGGACTTAACCAAAGGCGACACTTCGTGTGGATGCGCTGTCTCATTGAAAGGACCTGTTCCGGTGAAAGACCGTAAGGCGTCTGTGGCCAGTTGGATGAAAGGAACCACCGGTCTTATTGGCAGGTATATGTCCATGTTCACAATGTCGTCCACCTCGCAGCGCTCCCCAAAGATGTTTATCCCAGCCAGCTGGTTGTCTTTTACCAGAGGATCCCCCGGGCGAGTGTTACACGTAGTCTTCTTGGTGTGCCGCCGGGTGCGGACGCAGAAGTAGTCCGGATGGTAGGTGTCGACGTCGAAGAAGTCATGGGCGTGAAAGTAGTCTTTGCACCGATCCAAGTTCAGAACCATAGTGCGGTAATACTTCAGACGTCGCGAAGCCGCACCTACATAGGTTATGGTTACTTCATCCAAAAACTTTGGTATCCTCCGGTAGAGTGGGATGTAGCGGTAGTGGTGATCCAGCTTATGCTTCAAGCCCAGAAGACAAACGTGATTGACTTCTGTATTGAATTTGTTAACGGGCAAATACAACCCGATCACCTCATGCGGCAAGGTCTCATTGAATGGAACCATGTCAATGGCCGCTAGCACAGACAGGTGGCTGGCTTTGTACTCGTGGGATTTGTCCCTGGGGGAAGCTCGAAAACAAACAGTCGAGGTGATCACCATACGCCGTGAGATCAGTGCGCCCGAACAGGTGACAGATGCGTGGTGTAGGATACTTATGTAGAAGCTTTGATGCTTCACCGCATCAAAGGGCTCTGGGGTACGATTTTCCACCGCGGGAGGTTGGTCTCGCTCCTCTAAAGCAGTTCTATTGTAGTCCACGTGATCCGAGGAACTGTGTCGCTTGTTATAATAAGTCGGTCTATGGTAGTTTTCTACGTATTTTTTCATCCATTTAGAGGATGTGTAGCTAAGGCCTAAGACCAGCACCAATAACGTCATTAAAACTCTCATTTCGAACTAACTGATGCCGGTGTTAACCATGGAAGAAAGACTTTGGTTCCAACTAATTAAGTTAGTTTCATGGAAAGCTTATAATGTATTATAAAAAGTAATTTTACTAGCCATAAAAAAGAGACCAAGTCAATTGTACTAGCCATTTCGTATATATCAGATGTCGACTCCTATATATGGCCCACAGTGATGGCTATATCTTCCTCAATTCTTATCCGATTATCCAGTACCTTAAACGATTTCTGGATCGATTCTCCGCCATTCTGCATCAAAACCCTGAGACAAAATATTTTTTAGATTTTTTGTCCATTTTTTGTGATGGGATCCCTTGAAAATGGTGTTTTGCCCTATATGGCCCACAGAGATGGTTAAATCTTCCTTAATTCCCATCCAATTCTCAGGAGGAGTACCTTAAATGATTTGTGGATCGATTCTCAAGCATTCTGCATCAAAATCCTGAGACGAAATATTTTTTAGATTTTTTGTCCATTTTTCCCTTGAATATGGGGTTTTTGCATCGAAAGGTAGTTTGAAGGACTGTTATTTTAGCTAAAGTTCATGGCAAAAATACATTTAAAGAAAATTCGTTGGATTTCGTGATATTCAGGCGTAGTAAGTTCTGCTAATCCTTTAAGAGTGTAATCGGTAAAATATTAATTAAAGTGTTTAGTGGAAGCCAATCAAAGTACCCATTGTTCTCTAATTCACTTGATGTCGTTCATATGCGCCACTTCTCTTTTTTGTTTACCTCCAGTATTTGCATTTTTTGCGCCGATCGAAAGGGTATGGCAGAAGGACAAAGACATTGCAACGTATCCAGGACTACTGCTGAGGCTGCTGTGTGCACATTGAATTATAAACCGAGCATCAATGTCTGTCATTTAACTCTTGCCTTTTGCCGCCATCGAGACTGGACAGTCCTGACAACAGCAGACGTCATTGTGCCGGACATGAAAGGCTTGAGAGCAATACGCAAGGAGGCTAAAAAAAAATACGCCGTACAACGAAGGACATAGATAATTAATTTGCTTTGATTAGAGTTGTCTGGCATGGGCAAGAGACGGCTTGGGCAAAAACTGATTCAGGATCTGGCCGGAACTGGCAGACGGAAATTGAAGTGTTTGTAATGTATGCGAGGAGGTGGGCGTGGGACTCCTTCGCCGCCATCGCCTCCAAGCCTTTGGAGGAAGAAAACGGATGAGCCAAAGGCATTTCCATCTGACTCTCTGGCGTCGACAGCAAAAAGTGACAGGCTCGTCGACGGCTACGGCATCGGCTACGGCGACAGCGAGGACGAGTGTGTCTAATTGATGGGCAGCCAAAGGCTTTTCCATGCAAATATTGCTGGGGATTTCGCTTGCGGAGCCTGCTTTCGGAGGCAGCTGTCGGGTCGGGTTCGCTCATCAATTATTTAAAATATGCTACACTTGGCACATAACTTGACTGACAAACATGTGTTTGCCAGCAGGCCCGTAAGCCGAGCCAGTGGCCATAATAGCTGGTCATTATGTTTATGGGCAGGCGCCAGGGAACAGGACATCCAAACAGCAACAGTAGCGAGAGCGGCTCACACACACCTGACTCGGAAAAAAGGATATGTGTTCACTCTGGGCCCTGCCTAACGTCCTTGTTGAAATTTATGCGTACGTGCCCGGTTGAAAAACGTGGTCGACGACAACCAACCTCGGGTCATTTATTATTAGCTGTAAAATGCGTGCTGGCTCCTTGTTCCTGGCTCCTGCCAACTGACTCCTGGCTCCAGTTCGCTTTCCATGTTATTTTAGTTTCGATTTTAGGGCTCCGGTTATCTGATAAATAAAATCCGAAACAAAAGCCTCTTCGCGATTTGATAGGGATTCTAAATAAAGGGGACATTATTAAAGGATTCATTAGCACTCAGTAATTGAAGCATTTTCCCTGGAAAGGTTCTAAAACACAATTATTTACCTAGTTTAAAAGTTCATTTCAGCTGGGGCGCCTCTCCTGTTTTATCCCAAAACACTGTCGACGGCAAATTAAATGTCACTCACACGCCATGTAAGTCGGGCAAAGATTTTGCAGCTCATTATGCAGCATGACGCAATGAAAAACACTGGCTCCCCGCGTGGCATGATGGGGTTGGGCTGCCGGGATGGGTGGATTGCGTCAGTATGGGTGATGGAGTTGAGCTTATTTGAATTTACAAGTTGCCAACGACTAATGGCAAATTCAATTTCGAGCGCAGAACGCTTTTAAAGCAATCAAAGGCAGTGTAGCTGCCCATCTTGAGCAGTATCTCTGGCTCAGATTTGGCTGCAGGGTCAGCTGTGTGAGAGTACATTTGTCTTGTGCTGTTTGGACATGGAAATGGACATGGACACGGTAAAGGCAAAGGGAGTAAGTTGCGATGGACACGAACCGCCGCTGGCCGAGCAGCAAAAGCAAAACCAGAAGCAAAAGGAGCACAACCAGTTGCTAGAAATCGGGGAGAGTACTCAGCGGTGGAGTCGTCTTTGATTGCGCTGCTTCTGCCGGGCCCTTCTGCCAGTCTTCAGCTCAAATACAGTTCGTTGCACATTTGAACATACCCTCAGAAAATAAATGCAAATTTAGCCATGGCAAACACACACACCCACCCACCCATATATTGGCCATAGACATGCGCTGCTCCTTTTGTTGCCGTTGCCGTTGCCGTCGCCGCCGCATTTCCCGAACGCCAAAGCCCCTCTCTATTTTGTTCTATTTTCCCGTATTCCCTGTATATCCCGCTCCGTCCAGCTCTTTCAACATATTTGTATAAATTTTCGATTTTCTGCTTCAATAGCCTGCCGGAGTTGTGCTGCACTGCTCCTCTTCACTTTGTTTATGTCTCAAGAATTCAATATTTTTTCAAACTATTTCTCCTGCCATTTCTGCTGTTTTTCTCGCACTTGCTTTGTTGTTCAACACTCGTTTCTGGGTGGTCCAACATACATATATGGTATTGTATTACCGCCAAAGGATTGAAAACAGTCAGGCACACACTTGGCAGTCTCCTGAAGAGACTGACGCACCTTTAAGCACTATATCTATTCGATTTTGGATGTTGGCAGACTCGACGGCAGCTACTGAATTTACTTTTCACTCTCACATTTTATATGCTCATTAAATTTTATTGCTCTTATATAGTTCCAAGTCCCCGGCAGCACGCAGGACTCGTTTTGTTTTGGCATGTACGTGCTTAAACGCTGCCTGATGCCGTTTGCTACTTAATGGCTAATTAGTGGTATAATTTACACCTTAATGACTCTACAACAATGCCCAGGCAGCTCTTTAAGCGGGAGGCAGGCGGAGGAGGGCTTGCCTCCAGCCAAGAAGCTACAGCCATGAGGCACTAGAGCGGGGACTCTATCTTCTAGCTTAATCCCAGCACCTTGTAAGCCACGCCCCCAACGAAGGCTCCCTTCTAGCTCCTCCGAGTGCGGCTTAAGACCAGGCCCACATTTTATCGCTCGGCTCATATGTACTATTTGTGCTTTGCTTTATGTGCAAATCAGCGTCCATTAATAAAGACAGCCAGCGAAACGTTACGTATACGCCGCGTTGCATTAATCACAGCGAACGATACACTCCTGCTCCTGGTCCTGCTCCTGCTCCTGCCCCGAACAAGGATATGCGTATTTGCCAATTGTATTGTGTGTGTTTGTGCCTCCTCTCCGGCTCGGCGTGTTAATTTCATCGCAAATGCCTTTTTTTCAGTATGAAAATTTATGTATGCCATTTTAGACAGTTTGATTTATGATCTCGCCTCCGGAATGAATCGAGTTTTTGCGAATTTATCCAGCTACAGCCGGCTTTAACAGCCAAACGGAAATCCTCGCCGAAGCCTTTTCCCATCAAATGTATACAAATAGTATTTCAATTAATTAATTGATTACGAAAATGTATAAGCTTACCAAAGCGTTAGTACCTTTTAGCCTTTAGCTGCATTTTGAATGCCGCTGTCGCACCTGCAATGTAATATTACTTTTCAATATTTTGCCGACTAGATTGATTGACTTGCATGCGATGCGAGCGCAGAAAAAAATGTTGTCACGCACTCTGCCATGTCACATATGAAATTATTCAAAATGACACAGGTCCTGACAAAGCTGCGGAGCTCCGTGGGTTGCAATGCAATTTGCAAATTGCCATAAGCTTCAATTGTATGAAATAAAATATTTGAATGTGATAAGGTCCACGGAAGGATTGCGCCCGAACGTTGAAATTGGGTGAGTGCATTGGGTGAGGACACCGCTAATGCGCCACGCGGCGTATACGCAATGTGTCAAGCATGACATCAGCTTTGGTGCGCTGGATCAAATAAATTGGCATTGATGTCGAGTAGCTATTGGCAATGCTTATCACCAGGACCATTCCGCTTGAAAGATCAATTACGGCGGAACATAAATCCGTTTAGAGCCACAAAATCTAAACGGCTTAAACCAAATAAAATCGCCGAAACTAAAGTCAACGGAGCCAGCTGGATAGCCAGCCCGGCCCATTCAATTTTTATTTTCTATATTTTATTTATGGTTCCGGTCCTTAAACCAAAACTCGAAACCTAGTCTGGCCGAGCCAGCGGATGACGACGAGGACAATCGGCAGCGCGTTAAAAAACAAGCGAGAATATTACAACATTTTAATAGCGAAAATGAAGATTTATTGCCCACGACGACGACAGCGACGGATGACGCCGCCAAAATGTGCCAAACCCCAAAAAAAAAACGACCGGAGTTGAACTAAAAAGCGCGTTTTAAACAAAAGAAAATCGAGATATACTGACCAACAAAAAGTGAAGCAGTAAATGCTTTAAATAATTCTTAGACTCGACTGGCGTTGGATGTATTAAGGTCTTAGAGCTAATCAGGGAATAATATTTTTAAAAAATAATTCTTTTCTTGTAAAAAGCACTTATACATTTTTAAGAATAATTAATAATTTATGTACCATATATGATTGTCTATAATACCCTTGGCAATTAAAAATGTCTAGGGTATCGG